TTATTCATACAGTTCATTATACAGTCGCTCTACTTTTGTTGCCTGCTTCTAACCAAGAGTATCACCACTTGCTTAACACTCACTTTATCTCACTTTATCTCACTTTATCTCACTTTATCTCACTTTATCTCACTTTATCTAACTTTATCTCGAGCCATTACATAGGTACGTTTGTTGATCTACAATTCGCTTGAATCTTTCAAGATGATGCTATGCTGTTGCTATACTGTTGCTGTGCTGTCAAGAAACAGGACAGGTTTCTTGATCTGCAGTGGAATTGGGGCACACGTGATGTCCATATAAGGAGATGTCTAGCGCTAGCAGTCAATAGCTCTTTCGTTCTCACACATTAGAGGCTCCTTCAGCCAATCAGTTTAGGTTCAAGACTTTTAGTGGTAGACTTATAATCGACCATCAAATTTTGTGAGCGATCTCTTCCAAACAACATCCTGGTCTCCCACGACCAAGCGTGTGGGTAAACGATGGACATTAAACAATCATATTTCTGACATTTTGTGCATTCTGAGAGGAGTCCTCGGAGAGGGAATGAGACAGACTTGTTTTAAGTGCTTTTTAGTTTCTTGATATTGCTCTCTAAACTGAGTTACTACCTTGTCCTTCTTTTCCACGTTACGTGTATTATGACCCTATTGCAGGACATTTGCATTTTAATTGTCCTAAGTAGAATTAGTATAAATGGCAGACAGTAGATTTTGCTGCTAGACAATGCAGGATGCCGCTCCTACATCTTCACCACAATATCACCTTGTAACCTAGCAACCAAGTCCTGCATTTCACTACAATCTCACCTTGGTAATGGTACAGTCATTGTTTTCTGCGAGAAAACACGACAATAATAGTAGCTTATAACATTAGAACTATTAGTGAATAGTAAACTTATAATAGTAGGTAAAATAGTAGTAATATTAACATCTAACAGTTCTTAGCCCGTCCACATTACCCAGCTCTTAGTATACCTAATCTTCAAATTGCTCTGTTGCAGTGATTCTCCGCGTCGCTATAATTCTTCTTGTAATCTCAATCACCCACAACTTTCCAGCACTCACCACTCTCCACTCTCCAGCACTCACCCCTAATCTCAAGCACCCACAACTCTCCACTCTCCAGCACCCACCCCTCTCCAGCACCCACCCCTCTCCAGCGCCCACCACTCTCCAGCACCCACCCCTCTCCAGCACCCACCCCTCTCCAGCACCCACCCCTCTCCGGCACCCACCCCTCTCCAGCACCCACCCCTCTCCAGCACCCACCCCTCTCCAGCACTCACCCCTCTCCAGCACCCACCCCTCTCCAGCACCCACCCCTCTCCAGCACCCACCACTCCCTAGCACTCACCCCTCTCCAGCACCCACCCCTCTCCAGCACCCACCCCTCTCCGGCACCCACCCCTCTCCAGCCTCCAGCACCCACAACTTCACAGTGTCTAGAACTTACTGCTAATCACACTCAGCCCTCTCATAATCGATCAACATGATTGTAATTTAGAGCTAATGATTTCCTGACATCTCTGCTCTGTGACAAAGCAGTGCAGAGATGTGGCACACAGTAGTGCACTCTTCCAACACCTCAGTTTTACAGTAGTTTGATTGTTGCTGGAGGTTGCGAGACAGTGAGAAACTGGCTGTACAGTAGTCACTTGTAGTCAAGTAGTGAGCACACAGCCTCTACTCCTCCAATCATATCCTTCCAATCACTCCAATTATCTGACGTCTTCAAATTTCACTCTGTACCTCTTACTAGTGACCCTTACTGGAGGCCCGGGGGAGGTATGCTAATAACTGCAAGTGTGGGGTCGTACCTTCTCTAATATACCGTATAGTACAGCTTCTCTAGTACACCGTATAGTACAGCTTCTCTAATACATATCATTACAAACAGTTGTGATTACCTCACATCATTATTATTACAGTTATACACGGGTTATATGTAATAGGTACTTATATACGTGGTATTAAAAGTGGTATTATGAAGGAGCAAGTGGCAGTGTCCCTCTTTGCTGTCTGTGTGTGCCTCTATTGTACTACGGGCAACCTGTGTCCCCCTGTATGTGTGTGTGTCTGTGTGTGTCCCGCGTTGTACGGATAATCAGCCTGTCCCGTACCGTGCCCCATATGTTGTATAATAATACCTCAAATATCACATGACAACTTGCTCCTTCATATCATTACAAGACAACTTGCTCCTTCATAATATGACACAACGTAACGCCGTATTATCCCTCTTCTGGTGTCAGAAAGTCTGATCTTCTTCTAACGACTGTTGTAATTGTTTACGGAAACCTTCCTTTTTTGTTTGAGGACAAGCCTTAGCTTTTGTTTTATGAGCATATTATATAATATTATGAGCATATTATGATACATATTTAGATATATTGTCTATCTTATATACTAAAAAACCTTCCTTTTTTTATTTAAAGGCGAGTCTTTACTTTTCTTTCGTTAAATATGATCAACTGATACATATGTCATATATACTTATTACGAAAAATTCAAATTTTTTTTCTTGTATTGTCTAAAATTTGAAAACATTCTTTTTTGTTTTGAAGACGGTCCTTAATAACTCTTTCACGAGGACTCTTCATTAGCTGTAGCATATGATACATCAGTAGACTATAAATATTGTTTACAACTAGAAAACCTTACTTTTTTGGTAGAGAACGAGCATTTCCTTTAGTTTTCTGAGCTATTAAGATATAACATAACACGCGATGCCCATATAAGGAGTAAGTGTTATAGCATTGTATAGGACTATACTTCCCTCGAGTATATTTACATTAATTAGAAATTAAAGGTCTTTAGTAATTTGCATGTTTACTCACCTACACAATACATATGATCTCATTAAATTTAAGTATACTGCTCTGTTAGCTCTGCAGTTGGCAGATAACTCCGCTAATAACACGTGATGCCCGTATAAGGAGATGTTAGAGTATACGAGACGTATTCAAAAGGTACGAAAGTCGGTGGTTTTCCGGAAAAAACACCGTATTTTCTGACTATCAAAATTTAGGTCACCATCATTATTTTCCCCAAATTATTTTTAACGTATTTTCTTCAATTATGACTTTGTCCATTTACTATCAGTAATCAATATAGTAAGTTATAAATATGATTCATCTAACAAATGAACACTAGTATTAGAATTGCTTGAGAGATGATTTTTAAATTAACATAGAATTAAAAAATTCTATAAATTTCGAAAACCAGAAGATCATGAAGAAATTGACTTATAATTTTTCAAATTTCATATTTTTGATTTTATTTTATTGATTTTCTCAAATATTGGGTTTTATTTTTGTAAAATAAAGAAATGGAAAAAATCCCCAAATACCATGATTTAATTTGGGGTACGAAATGAGGTGGTTTTCGGGAAAAAATCCCATATTTTCGTTCCCAAATCATTTATGGTTTAGGTCACCGGAATTATGTCGAATATAAATATGTCTCGTAAGGTAATTCTCCTTTTACTCTTCTTTAATCTTTATGTTAGACTATTATGGCCCTGGCAGTGGCTAAGGACTGCCGCCTATATAATCGTTTATCAGTCGATAAGGTTGCACAGCATGCTTAAAACTCCAACTAGTTGTCATGACAACAAGTATCGTAGATGTGGAAGCAACACGGAAGCCGGCTAGTTGTGATGCGGTTTCCTCTCAACGATACTTTTAAGAAGGCTTGCTGCATAATGTTTTATTACAATAATAGACACTAATCGATGAGACATTGCGTTATCCTATAAATATAATGAGATTGTCCTATTCCTCGAGTGTTACTTACCTGTTGCGTGACTATAACTATTATTTCTGCCGACTGATATGCTCGCCAATGATTGTTTCATTAGTTACTCTGGACTACTGCCGGGAAATTCCCCCGTACTGTTTGCTACACTTGTTGTAAAGTGGTGTTGGCGATGGAATAATTCCTCCTTCGGGAGACGTTCACGGCTTCAGTTTTTTGAGTTGTCCGTCTTAATTTAGTCACTAATAATATAACCAGTTATTAGTTAAACGTGCTTGTGTTTGTAATTTTCTGAAGAACTTAACGCCATTCTGGTAGCTTATGTTTACTAGTAATTTTACCAAATACTTGATCTAACGAAGACTAAATTTTAAAATCTTTATCGAAACAAAACTGCAGAAAAGTGGGTAAAGTTCTATATAGATGTTATAATTATTAACATAGGAGTTGCATAACATGTTGACCATGGTTCAAATTCAGACGTAGACACATTTTAATAAAGTTACTGCCGATATCTAATTAGGATGAAATTAATTCACTAGTCATTGATATTATCAATATCATTAATTTGGTTGACCGCAACGTCAGACAATATTTTGATAATTATTAGTTATGTTGAGTCTGCCTAACTCGTATCTTAAAACCTAACATGTCAGGGAACTTACTACTTGTTCATGGTTTTACCGCAAGTTTAATGAGGTACATACTACATTATAAGGGTAAATTAGCAAGAGCTCCCGTCCCTTTAATTAATTTCTACTGGCAGTAAACTTGCACGTAAAAACTGGGATCATGTCTCTCAGTGTCTGCTGTTAATAGTTTTACTGCAGTGGGAGGCAAGATGGTTGGAACACGCTGCGCGCCATTTTAAGATCTTTGTCTGCAATGTGCAATGAAGGGAGGGGAGGAACTAGGGATTAAGACTAAAGTTTTGTAGTATCTTTTGTACTTTGCAGTATCTTTTGATTGCGGATGTACACTGATCAAGTGATTGCTAGCTTGAAAGATACTAACCGCCACCAACTCACGCACACTAGTGTCCCAAAAATTATTAAATACATATCCTTATATGGGCATCACGTGTTATTCTCACTCTTAAAGCCCTGCGAATATTACATAAATCACAATAAACGTTTTTATAATTTAGAAACGTTTACAGTGATTTGTGTTTAGATCGTAGCGAGAGTGTATGTTAATACACTGACGCTACAATCTAAAGACACACTCTCTACGATTAGGAGGAGATGAACTGGTAGACTGACCGTTTAAAATGCAACACAAGATAGGAACCCTCACACGGCGCGCTGTAGATAATGGTGAACTCCAGTGACCTGACAGAAGATCGAGGAGAGTCGCCTAATTTCCTAGATTCTTTAGCTAGTTTTAAAGGTAGACGTCTTTACTGTGGTGTACCTATAACTATCTAGGGTGCACGGTTCTTGATTTTTGATGTAAACATTTCAGGTACAATGTGTTTTAAAAGCAATTGTTCTAAATTTTAATTTGTTCGTTATTTTGTATAGTTGAAAAGATCAGACAATGAAATTAACGTGGAGTTTCCAAGACAGGTTTATATCCTTAACATATCCTTATATGGGCATCACGTGTTTCAGACAGGTTTATATCAGAAGCGGAGGAGCTCTTTAGCATATCAGACTCTCGGCCTAACAGTAGAAGCAGCAGGCTCAGCAGACAGAGCAGACAAACTACACTTAGTACATCCTCCTTCGATTTCAGGTCAGTTAATGTACCTTTTGCACGTGCACAAACTTTGCTCGTGTAAGTAATGTGTACGTGCTGCTAGAATATGGTATGTTTCAATTTTAATTTGTCAGTTTTCTAACAGAATAATTAAACGTTGTGAAAATATGGACCCACTGCGATATTTAGGTTACTCAAGAAATGTTGCTTTTGCCGGAGCTTGAATTTTAGTGTGTTTGGAAATTCACGTGAGGGGTGTGATCTGAATGCACGTGCAACATACGAACTTTTACCACGTGCAATATACGAACTGCAGGTTTACCACATGCAATATAATACGAACTTCAGCTTTACCAAGTGCAATTATATACGAACTTCAGGTTTACCACGTGCAATATACGAACTGCAAGTTTGCCACGTGCAATATACGAACTGTAAGTTTACCACGTGCAATATTCGAACTGCAAGTTTACCACGTGCAACATACGAACTGCAAGTTTACCACGTGCAATATACGAACTGCAAGTTTACCACGTGCAATATACGAACTTCAGGTTTACCACGTGCAATATACGAACTGCAAGTTTACCACGTGCAATATTCGAACTGCAAGTTTACCACGTGCAACATACGAACTGCAAGTTTACCACGTGCAACATACGAACTGCAAGTTTACCACGTGCAATATACAAACTGCAAGTTTACCACGTGCAACATACGAACTGCAAGTTTACCACGTGCAATATACGAACTTCAGGTTTACCACATGCAATATACGAACTGCAAGTTTACCACGTGCAACATACGAACATCTTCGTACTATAATGCATAACTAAACATATACCATTATATTAGCTTGAATAATATGTAGATTGTAGATATAAAACTTAGGCAAGATACTCGTATAATATAATTAGGTAACTACCATATTACAAGATTGCATTTTGAACTGTATATATAATTCATTAAATTCAAGAGGTTCCGTGTTCTATTAGTAATAGTATTGTCATGTAACTGTTTAAGTATGTGCGGACACTGAATACGTAAGTCATAGTTTTTGCTCCTGGTCAGTGTCACAACAGAATATAAAGCAAAAATAAATTATATTTGAGGAGTTTCAAACTTTCCTAATTCTTCTTGTTTAATGTTTATAGAGTACAAGTTACAGGCAAGAGACAAGAGATTTTAAATAAATCCAGCCAACAAGAACATTAATCTGTTGCAGACTGTTTACAAGAATTCTTCATTATTAATTTGTATAGTATTCTCGGCTGCAACCGTCCACTGCTAAACGACCACTGCCAGAAATGTGACTTTTGAAGATATTTTATCCCTTATCTCTTGAAAGTAGTGCTTGTTTGAATTTTATTTAGTTGTTTTCAGGCTTTAAAACTGGACGAGCGTGCTAAATCACTCTACATTCGATCATCGAGATTTTTCTAAAAGGGCCCCTGACAGTTGAAACCAACTTCATGTATTTTCGGACGCTGATTCCGAATCACCCACCCCCCCCCCCCCCCCCCCCCCCCCATGACATAGGGTTAAAATGCTCCCCTGGCGAGATATTCAATATTGGCGAAAAACTGTCTCGATCACGTGACATGATCGTATAAGGAAGTTGGTCTAATTTCTCGTTAGGGTTAGGGTTTCAGCATATATGCTTTTGCTATAGGGATTGGTTTAGGGGTCGTTCACATATTACGTAATAATTTGTTGGAACATTTTTACCCCCCCCCCCCCCCCCTCCCCCGTAATCAGTTTTACACCTAGCTATCGTGTCAAAATTACACTAGCGTAATCATTCGGAAACCCCCCCCCCCCCCCCCCCCAGCTGATTACGTAATATGTGAACGACCCTTTAGGGTTGGGATCAGATTAGATGGTTAGGGTTTCGAATAGTCGTTCAGGGCCAGCTAAAGAACAGCTGTTGTTGGTTCAATCACCCATTAAGTGTTAAATGTTTACACCCGCAGTACACATACAAGGTAAAGATAATATTTAATTATAATAAAAATAATAACATAATTAATAATATAATATTTAATTAGCCGGTGACTGGAAGGTCAGACATAAATAGTGTTCTGATCAGTTATTCGTACCTTTGTTATAATTATATTGTCACACTTACAAAATTACAACAGCTGTAGGTGGTATTAACTTTTGTGGCTTCTTAAAGGTTCTGAGCTTTTAAGGGTCTGATAGTAAATTGTTATTCAAGTTCAGTTGGTATTCAGTCGATGGATCAGTTACACGTGTTTTTGATACAATAATATATAGAATCATATAACGGGAACATCGTGTTCTAGTTCAAACAATTCATGGAATTATAATGAACAAAATACTGCCAAGCTGTATAGTAAACTATGTATTAATTACATTTTGAAATCCTGTATTATTATTATATGCACATATATTATGCACAATGCACATTATAATATCTGCTAGATGGGTGGCAGTGAGTGTTGCTATTTAGCTGTTTATCAAAGTGCAGTTAATCGGTAAGTACAATGTTTATCTTATTGTCCTGATCTCTCCTGATTGTCCTTTTAAAGTTTTAAGGGAATCACGTGTTATCCCGATTGTCCTTATAAGGGCATCACGTGTTATCCTGATTGTCCTTATAAGGGCATCACGTGTTATCCTGATTGTCCTTTTCTTAAATTTAGCGACATCTTGGGTATCAGCATTCTCTACAGGGTTGTTAAAATAGATACATTCCAATTGCACTGAGTTATTTATTAGCATGTTGTGCGGGCGACTAATAATCTATTTAGATTGTTTCAAACCAAAACCTGCGAAGTTATTTCAATTGTGTTTGCGATACGTGCGGTACAAAACGTTCGACATGCGAATGATCGGCAAAACTGACAAGCACATTAACCCTCAGCCATGGAAACAGCGCTTGCGTTGTCACAGAAACAATACTCGCGACGAATGTAAATGATGCACTCACTCGGAATGAATTATCTTGAACTTCAGCAGTATCGAATTAAACATGGGATGAATACAATACAGGTGCTTGACAACTAAATTCAACTAAATTATGTGAGAAACCGACAGCTTGGACAGCTTGAATCGACTCTGTAGTTTGATTTGAATCAATATGTCAGCGTGCCAGTTTAAACTTTGAAATTGCCCGACTGCTCCACTAAGCTCTGGTCGTGCTTTTTAGATAAAAATAAGTTTTATGAGCCTGAATTGTTGCAATTTGTTCGCTCAGAGAACCGGATTGTTTAGGTGAGTAGTGAAATAATAAATGTTGCAAGTCATTACTAGAAGGTAGGTGGAGGATGCTGTTAGTCTTCAAACACAAGGAAATATTTTAACTAATAATTATTTGGTCATTGTTTCCTCCACTCCTCCTATACTCCTCTCCTCAGTTAGTCGAGTAAAGCTATAGAAATAGCTGATTTATTTAGTTGATACGATTCCCTTTCTCGACTTAAATTTCCGGAAAAGATTTCAATCATCCACTATTTCTGAGGTAGAAGGGCATTGGGCAATATTCCTTCCTTCTTTACTCTTTATGCATCTTTACGTCTCTTATACTGATTGCATTCTTTTTATGATGCCAATGATTTTCTCTTTATGCACACATAAAATCCCCAAAATTTTAGCTTATAAAAACTGTAAGATTATTTATTCATTTATCCTTCTTATTCCTACTATAACCCACCCTAAAATCCAGGTCACATCATATTCGAGAAATTCTTCTGTATGTTCTGATAATCAATTAACTATTTAATTAATCTGCTAATAACCCGCAGTTTCCCATGGTCGACGAAGCCGGAAGAACCGGAGGAGAATTTCGCAGATGTTCTAGATGAAGAAGAGGACTACTTGGAGAATGGAGATGAACCAACCTGCTACGCTCCACGCAACGATAGGTACCTGTTAATTATGCTAATTAGTTATAATTAGTTATAATTATGACAACTTGTCGACTCGCTAACCCATCCCACCAGGCTGATTCTGTGTGACTTTAGGTCAGGGCCTGTTAAAAGTGCGCTCTTTGAACGGACCGTTCATTTGCCACACTTTCCCCTGAGAACGCACCAGTGATTGTCGCCAGCTAAGCCTAAACCTAATTATCTATAAATTTTACATTTAGATTTCGTATTATATATTTGTTCACACGGTGGAAATTTCGAGACAATTTAAACTGTTCTGAGGAGGAGTAGTTGCCAGACTGGTGTGTGTATCGCTGGTAAATTATTAACTTACATAATTCAAGATCGATTGCATCGGTAAAATAATTAATACTCAATTATTTTGGATTACATCAATTATCGTCCAGCTCACTGTATGTATTTGGTATCATTACAGAAGCACAAGTAAAACTGAAGTGTACACTACACCATAAGATTACCAGGGGCAGTTGCCAGGGCCCTAACACGTGATTTACACGTGCAGGTATTCAGTAGCATCTAAGCGACAGAGTACGGCCACGGCGCGGCAGAGTACGACAGTAAACAATGCAAAAGGGCGTGGTCGACTAAAACGGGACAGTAGTATTTGTATTAAGAACGGGAAAGTTGAAAACGGAACTCTTCTCCAGTACAGGTTTTTATAGGATAATTGTAGGACAGTAAGATAATTGTACTTGTAGGACAGTAAGATTATTGTATGACAGAATATGTTACTGGGCGGTGTCATCCCGCCATATCTTCAATCGTGTGTTCACATATTACGTAATCAGCCGAGGGGGAGGGGGTTTCTAAATGATTACGCTAGTGTAATTTTGACACAATAGCTATGTGTAAAACTGATTACGGAGGGGGGAGGGGGATTATGTAATATGTGAACGACCCCTTATGTATGTATCAGGGACAAAAGGATTTCGCGATTATTTTGGCCCAATTTCGCGATACCGCGATTTTTAACAGACTATACATTAAACTATACATAAAATTTCGTACATGCCGCGATTTCCTTTTGTCCCTGGTGTGTATGAAGTCTGGGGTCCCCAGATAATTTTGCTTATTCGTCTGACTTTTTTGAACTCACACCAATATAAATATGATAAACCTCTACCGATTATAAAATAACGAGTCTAACCAGTAATTCCTCCCACAGTGCATTAACGTTAACTATACAGAAGATAAAGCCCGGTGATATTCCTTCATTTCCAGAGATTATCGACGATTTGCACTGTCTAGAGGGGGCAGACCCTGAACAGGTAATTAGTTAATTAGTTAATTAGTTAATTAGAACTACACTGGGTTTAATTAATAGTGTCCTCATTTATTTTATGTATTCCTACAAAACGTATTTTAACGAACTTTGCTTTGTAAGTGAGTCCAGGAATTGTACTGCTAGCAGGTGCGGTTCTTTCATGACAAAATTCCCGGGACAATCTCCGAAAACAATCTCCCCATACTATTTTAAAAGCTATCAACCATGTCATCAAGGAATAGTTGGCTTGATCTTCATTACCCATTGTTCTATAAAGTCAAGATAATCGTGGGAAGAAATAGTAGATAAACGTTACACCGATCTGAACCATTTACTGGCGATGTCAGTCGGTTACCATGGTCACATGGTCACCACTCACCAAGGTTAATGGTATCAAAGCAACACTGGAAATTAACCGTCTGCAGTTGCTGCTGCTGCTCCATTATTTCGAACACAATTCCCAGGGTCACTGTCTTGTTCAGCGCTGGACAGGTGCTAATTGGTGCTAATTGGACTGGTAATTTGGGTGAAATGAGCAATAAGATGGGTAAACTAGTCATTTAATTCATTCCCATCTGCGTGTACAGCAAGGAGGATATTATGCTCGCACAATTAAGAGGAAAGCTTTGCCCTTTTTTGTGGGATTGTCAATTTAAAAACTCGTGTTTCTCCGGTTATTTATATAGTTATGGACTGATGGTGTAACTTACAGATAACTTACTCATCTTGGTAAGTAAGTTACACCCTAATTAAACGGATTAAACGATTAAAGAAATTTTAAAAAAAGTCAAATTATAATGGTAATGTCTATTATCTTAATTTATGACTCACATATTATGCTACTTAAGGGATCGTTCACATATTCCGTGAGCCATCTCTAGACCCCATCTCCGTAAGCCATTTTACAAAATACACATAGCCATTTTGTAGAAATTACTTTGATTTTCCAACTAAGGTGATACTACAGATTGATGAAATGATTCGTAACAATTTGATTACAGGTTCAACTAATAGTTGATAAGTTGGAAGCGCTCAAGCTAACCATCGCCTCCCTGGATAAGCGACTTCAGAGCATAGACCGTGGTCTGGACAGACTGAAACCCACACCTTTATCCGAATAGTGTATCACGTTACCATGGTTACACAACGTTACCATGGTTACACATACCATGGTAACACAACTCACATGTACCAGCCCGAATGGTTGACCGACAAGACAACTGAACCTAGTTCCCACTAACCAATCAGCTTAATTGGTTAGGGTTAGGGTTAGGGTTAGGGTTAGGGTTAGGGTTAGGGTTAGGGTTAGGGTTAGGGTTAGGGTTAGGGTTAGGGTTAGGGTAAGAGTTAAGGTATAAATTGTCTAAATTGGGTTCAGTTGTCCGGTAGCCACCCGAATAGTGAACTTTCTCACAATGTCACATAGATTAGCCAACATTTAGTTTTTTTAGTTTTACTTAAAGCAAGTTTTAAGTAAGTTTTAGCAGGAGCAGTTGCCAGGGCCCTGACTCAATATTCGTTTGACTTAAATTTAACACTCAATTTCAAGTAAAAACAACCTGTGGTTTGAAAACTTGTAGAACTTTGAAACCTCTGATCTGACGCTACTACTACTACTATAACTTTTGATCAGCAATCATATTCCCATCTCGGCACGCCCTTATTTTTAAACCACTTACTAACTGTATAATACTCAAAATTAGATATTTAGCTTTAAAAAGTATGGTCTTATATTTAATATTTTACTGAATTCATAACAGAGCTCGGTGAATATGAAGAAAAGTGATAAAAATGATAAAAGCAATGTTATCTGTTTATGAGGACTTTAAGTGATTAGATTTCCGGGGTTTTTTTGGAGATTCTTTTGTTGAAAAATGTTGCACGATTTTATCAATTCATGATGGATTGTTTCAAAAGTGAAATGTAGTTTAATAAGAAAACTATTATTAAGAAAATAATTTTAAAGAAATTTGTATTTCTCTAACGAGAGGTGAAACGGTACTGTTATTTTAACCGTTAAAAATTAATATATGCATTGCTTTGTTAGTATTAATTAATTAATGAAATAATTAATTAATTAATATGCTTTGTTAGTATGTACTTATAATTGTTCTTGGTTATATCAAGTTTTATCACACCCCGATTATTAATCTAATCAAAAAAGTAAGAAACGAACTTAGCAAATTGCGATAACCGAATTCAATTTAGTTACAAATACGTATTAAAGATACATAGCACCTATTACCATAGCAATCGTACAAAATAAATAAATATTATTATAAGTTATCAACATTTTATCTATTTTCACATTTACCACTGAACATGCAGAGCGACAAGAAATCGCGTGTGTTTCTTATTATATCAATTATTTACACACCAAGTACCAAGTTTTAAGTAATTTCACTAGTTTTCTAATCAGAGTTCAGGTAATCAAATAATCGTGCAGCAATTTCGAAATGTTTTACATTATTAGGTGATCAAACTTTCAGTCTCTCATACCCTAAATAAGTTGTGTTACTTTGGTACCTAACATCCAAATCACTTCAGTGACAACTGGTCAATAATTAGCACCTATCCTAAAGCAAATTGTAGCATTATTGTCCAAATCTAAGCTCGTCAGTTAATTATAGACTAAGGTCTACACATTGTGGTTAACACATTGTGGTTAACACATTGTGGTTAACACATTGTGGTTAATACATTGTGGTTAACACATTGTGGTTATCACATTGTGGTTGACACATTGTGTTTAACCAATGTGGTTAATCACATTGTGATAAACACATTGTGTTTAACCAATGTGGTTAATCACATTGTGATAAACACATTGTGTTAAACACATTGTGGTTAACATATTTGCATTGTGGTTAGTCCCCACAAAACCTAGCCCTGCTCAGTGAGTTCTATAGTCCGGGCTCCATCAGTATACAATGAGATGTTCCATCAAACCTGCAGAATAGCGTTGCTATGACGATTCTCACGTGACGTGGTGTTGTGACGTGGCGTTGTCATGACGATAACCACGTAATTTCACGAGGTCGTCACGTGACTTCAACGTCTGGTGTTTCTAGGAATTTGAGTGCTTGTTGGAAGACGGAGCGAGGGTAGAAGTTTATGTGTTTTTCTTTGGAACTCTTTAGTTGTTCCTGAGAAATTGGTCAATTGTTAAACATAATAATATAATCTATTTAAGTAGTTAATATAAATAATAATAAATTAACAGTTGCAGTCATATAGTTTATTTAATTGCTTTTATGCACAATCACCAAACCGGGCTCATTGCTCAACATGTAAAAAGATAATTGAAATAATAATATCTCACCTTAAGATACGATATGAGCATAACTTTGTTAACTTTCAGTTGGAGAATTGCCAAATTAGAAGGACAGTCGTGACACGCTGATATGAGACTTGGAAACAAAAGATTCATTGACCTGAGGAGTTACGTAAATTAGTATTTTTACAGTTCACGTAACTAAACTAAGTAGTTGCTAAATTTAATAGTATTGAAAGAATAAAGGAAGTCTGCAATATCTAACGTTAGGTTTCTTGAAAATTCCAAAACTTTTTGTCCGCAATATGATACAAAACACTGTTGTCATGACAACAAAACATGTCAACTGTTTGAAGAGTTCTACATCCAGAGCTGGAATGTTCACATTCCGGAACTGATATTTGGGATATTTATTAATTGTAGGTTTATGGGTGTAGAGTGTAGGTACCTGATATCTGAGAAGTAGGAGAAGGGAAGAGAAGAGAGGAGCTGTAAAATTGAGGGCGAGGGTCCATTTTGTAATAGCGCCTGAGAGAGTAGTAGTTACTACTTAGTTATAATACTTAGTTATTACATAGTTACTACTTAGTTATGATACTTAGTTACTACTAAGTTGTGATAATACTGATAATTCGTACAGAGCCAAGAGACGGCAAAATTGAAATTAACCACACTGTTTCATATAGGGATAAACAACATATGTAAATATGTTCCACCTAAATGTGTTTTAAAACAGTATACCTGGTTAGAGGGGTGAGAGAAGACTACGAATCCTATGAGTTGCACACACAGGTCCAGTATATCAGTGTAGGTGTGGTGAGAAGCGCAGGACAGCACGAAACTGCACACGTGGCGGAGCTCTAGGGACATTCCTTCACTGTCCATAACTGTCTGAGAGGGGGAAGGGGTTACCATGGTAAAACTAGGGGGGGGGGGTCAAGATGGCAGGTCAGGGAGTCTAATGTCATTAGATTCTAATGACTTACAATCAAAGTTTCTAAATCACAAGGCAGGACCTGTAAACTTAACCATTACCCAAGTATTACCCTCACAAACCTGCAGAGTGTGAAGAGAGAAGCGGGATATATCCAGCAGAGTTCCCAGACACTGTTTAACTACACAGCGCTTCATGTCAGAGAGGGGGGGCGGTGCGCGGCGCGGTCCTTCGTACAACAGCACGCCGTACAGTAGTGTCACTATGTTACATGCTTTTGTGAACACCTGAATAGTAAGTGTCACTAACTTAGTGACATTGTGGGTGTTCTTTGTGATTTGTTCCATTTTTATATAAAATATTTCGAGGAATTCATGTCGCGTTAATCCAAGAATTAGAAATTCACTTCGAATGAGCAGCTAGGTTGGGCTATTTATCATATATTGTGTTGTGAACGCACAAAGCTTGAATACATTTGACTTTAATACATTCTAATATGATGAGATGTATATTGTATACTCACGAGAGAATCTACAAGCTGTGAAGGGTCGTTCTTAGTGGGGGAGATTGAGATAGCAGCATTAGGGGTTGTCATGGCAATACAACAAGCAGAAAGTAGTTGCAGTGAACTCAGCAACACCGAACATCCGTTATCATCTGAAATTTAAAATCTTTAGAATTTCCTAAAATTGTGAGAAAAACAGACAAAAAGAAACGTATCCAACTTAGTGAAGTGTTAACTATCATGACGAGTTGAGTTTATTCCAATATTTCTCACACAAGCACCAAGATGTAAATCAGATCGAACGAGAAATTAGATCGAACGAGAAATTAGATCGAACGAGAAATTAGATCGAACGAGAAATTAGATCGAACGAGAAATTAGATCGAACGAGAAATTAGATCAAACGAGAAATTAGATCGAACGGCGTCTCAATTAGATCTGATTTACATCTTGGTGACAGTAACAGTACGGTTATGTGAGTAATATACGTATCATGAAACAATAATAAAACTAAGGTTTGCGGTAAACTACCCACTTTTGCGGTAAACTACTCACCTTTCAACTGGTAGTTGTAAGTATCCGTACAGGTCCTCTGTATCTGTTCTATTATCTCTTTAGAGACAATGTAGCTTATCAGATCACTAGTTAAACTATCACCTGAACAGAGGTTACTTCAATAATAAGAGGTTACTTCAATAATAAGAGGTTACTTCAATAATAAGAGGTTACTTCAATAATAAGAGGTTACTTCAATAATACCAACTTTGAGAACGAAGGGTTAAACGAAAAGAAAAGATGCAAATGAATCTACTGTTCCCGTCCACTAAACCCCGGGTCCTGATGAATGTAGAGGTACCAGATAATTACACATAATTATGTAACTACAGGTAATTATGAAATTACATATAATTATGTCCGTTTATAACAGCTAAAACTCACAAGGAGTAAGGGTTCTAATGAGAGTGGAGGTAAGTTTAAGTAGATCTGAGTAAACAGCAGGAGTGGTTACGCTAGCGTGGGCGTGCAGACAGTCAACTATATCTGGTAAAGATCTTACACAGATCTGACTTCCTGCAGAAAGGGGGATTGTCGGTTATTACTTTATAACTCCAGTAAAACCCTGATTTTCTGCGCCCCGATTTACCGCGGATCTATCTATTTACCGCGGATCTATCTATTTACCGCGGCTTTTGCCTTTCCCCCAAACTCCGCGCTTAATCGGGGTTTCACTGTAACTAGTTGGAGAAAAAAGTCTATTATGTACAAGCAAAGAGATAAGATAGTAACTTTTACCATGTTTATATACCTGTGCTAGATAAAAGTGAGGATTGCAAAAGAAGTTTTGATAAAGAAGCAAGGTGTTGTCGCTCCGGTAACATCGTGCACAGCTGTTCGACCACCCCTGAAACATTAGATAGTGAATGATAATCATTTAGCCGGAAAAATGAATTGCCTACAGCGACATTTATCACAAATTAAAATCAATATCAATAAATCGTGATAAAATTGCTAATAAATTGACTGCCAAATCCATTGCACGTCGCTATAATTAACACTTAACTAGATCACATTTCCACTTTCTCAACTCGTTTGTTTTGTCAGAAGTTGTCCCCACTACTAATTAAACACAGGACTTGGGCTGTTTTAAACGGGACCTGATGGAGGATCTAAGGAGGATATTTAATGGCGAGATGATCAAGCACACTTCCAGGATCCACCCCTCTCCAATTGCAAATGACGTCAGGATCCCACAATTCAACAACGTCGTCACTTCCACTCCTCAGACCTCAGATGTAAGTGATTTAGAGTCCACTAACTCTCTGTTACGATCTCTTCATCTGGAGAGAACAGCCAGGAGCAAACCAGATTCTGCTGCTACGGGTGGTGCTGCTCCTAGACGTCTCGGTAAAAACTTGAGTGTTTCAAACGACTCAGACTCGTATCACACCCCAAGGTCCTCAAACCTAACAGTCAGTACTGAGGACGATATTCTCAAAAGCAGCCCTGATAAAGTGACGTCATCACGAGACACTCCACTCTGTGAAATCTCCCTGACAAGCGAAGTTTCTACTTTTCCCTCCCTCGACTTCACCCTAAACACTCCCCCCACCTCCCCTAGTTACGATATCAAACCTCTGCTTACTCCTCCTGAAGCCTCAACACGGATACTTGCCCCTGACCCACCTCGTAAAGCGAGGAGAACAGGTGGTTTAAGGTGCATGATAAGTGATGTGAAGGAGATAAGGGGCTGGTTTGGTGACAGTAATAATGAGAGCGGTGGGGTGGCAGGGTGTTACCAGGGTAGTTGCATGAGCCTGAAACAGTCGTTTGATTTCAACAAACTACAATCTCCTAGTAGTCCTGAAGAACATGATATTGGGAGTGAGGACTTGTTTGAGAGAACATTTGATGTGGGACAACTCCAAGGCCAGTGTGGTACATTGAGGGTTTCAAACCTTGATAAGTCTATGATGTTGAATGGAAATGTGGAGCTGCTCAAAGTTATTCGGATAGATCTGGAAGAGATGGTTGACGAAAAAGATTTCGCCGCTTTCGACGGACTTGTGGATCGAGCGAACCAGATTTTTGGACTCCTAGTCGATAAAAAACTCTTGCCTCGATCAGTTATTAACATGGATACAAACAAAGTATTGAAAGAGATAAAGAACAGCGAATTCAAGGTTTCAGAGATAATTGATCTGATCATGGAAATAGAAGAGGAGGACCCAAAAGACGAGCTACTCGAAGAATTGAGGGATCAAAATCTTAGAGAGGCTGAGGATAAGTTGAAAGAAAAGGAAGCTAGCTTCCTTGTACTTCAGATTTCTAACGTTGTTAATCACGAGATTGCGATCACCAACGCCAGCAATCCGGAAACCTCTGTATAAACAAAACCTGTTGCTTGGCTGGTACCAGGGATATTATTATTAATTCTAATATGTCTCATTTATATCACGTGGATTGTATCGATTGTATAGTTTTTCCTCTATTCTATAATTACAAATTTAACTTTATTCCAGAGAGGCTCTTTCTTTCAGGAACATATCATCATCACCAATTATGTATGTTAAACTCAATATATTTTTAGACGTATTAAACTTGATCTTGTGTCTTAGTCTCAATTTCAAACGTAGCTCTAACATAAACATCTAACAGACCAGCTAGACTCAACATAAATAGTTGAGCTATAAAATAAAGTTGATAACTTGACAATTAGTATAATCATATAATAATTAGTATAATTACCTTTATCTATGAGATGATTAATGTCTGTTTTAGTGAGGACGGTTCTACTCAAATCTCCCAGTCCCTTCTCCTGAGTTTTCTGGTTCTTCATGGCTTTAATGCATTTGTAGAGTCTGTTCTTGTTGGGACAGTCTTTAGGGGGCTCTAGAAGCTTTACTGTGGGTAACTCAGAAATCCTGCAAAGAGTACTTTGAATAATGTCCTAAAGTTCCATTATGAAACCTCAGACATAGGGTGATAAGTACAATTTTATGCAAGTCTGACAATTCATCAATGAGCTATTGAAGAGTGAGACTGTAATCAGCTGTTGTGTAAGCACAAATCTCGTTACTTACTTGTTGGTTATTCTAGTTTTAATTTACTTGTTGGTTATCCTGGTTTTAACTTACTTGTTGGTTATTCTAGTTTTAACTTACTTGTTGGTTATTCTGGTTTTAACTTACTTGTTGGTTATTCTAGTTTTAACTTTCTTAGACCGCTTCCTCAACATCTTCTGTCGGTTGATGACATCCTGTGCCATTGGACACAGTTCATCTGTGTAGTCAACTATGTGCTGGCTTTCAACCTCAGCCTGGAAATGTAAATTTCACTAACTTATTTCTATGAACGAATAATTTGATAAAATTGTAGCATGCACGCGTAAGCAGTTATTAGTAATGTAGCTTGAGACATTCATAATATTTGTCTTCAGTTGTAACTTTAGCGTATGATATGCAGATTTTGCAGAGTAGAGTAGTAAAGTAACATGTACACGTTATAATAGTGTGTAGTCCCTGACTACTGCTGTGTTAACTTTAACAGCGACACATAACTATATGTCAACAGAGTTATTAAACGTTTAATTATCTGTGGTTTTTGTATTGTAGGTACACTAACACGATATCTGACGACACTGATGTAGTCTAATGTACTACACAAAATGTAGGTTCGTGCATACCGTTTTGTTAACATAGAAAAGTAAGGATCGAAAAGAGCTAAACCTAATAAATCTACATCAAAATATTACAAATTAAATCCTACCTCATCTTGACTGGACTTCTGATGGCGTTTTATCATGTGAGACATGAGAACAGCCTCAGATACGATCTTGATATTACACTTTGAGCACCATTTAGGAGGTTGATATAGGGTGTGAGTTGGGAGGTATTCCGAGGACACGTGCTGGCACAACATAGCTGCTTTCTGCTGCATTTCTTTTAACTTGGACGTCTCCTTTCGATTCTGGGGAACACATTTATAAAAAGTTGGGGGAAATGCTCGAAGATTGGCTAATTGTGAAAATATTCAGTATTGCAGAGACGGCCCTACGAATAAGTAATGGTTAGTTACATTAACAACTAAATGAGAAAACCGTTACTAACTTTGGTTTTACTAGGTTTGTTGTCAGTACTGCTGTTTCTGTCGTTGTTATTCCTATCACTCTTCACCAGTTCGATAGTTACTTCTCGCTCAAAGGCTCTCTCTTTGGCAGCCTCCTTAGCCGCTGTTTCCATCCCTAGCTTGTTTAGGTCAACCTTAAAATAGACTCTTATCAGGTGGTCCTATGTAATGTAAAGTTTATGCTGATGACCTCATGCCGGTCGATGGCGCGTTTGTATTTTGAGGCTTCGCGCGCGCTTCAAAAGCACGTGAGTAGCTGCTGAAATATAAGATTTGCTTGACAAAATGTCAGCGCGCGTCACACCGACTGAACTATAATAATGAAAAGTGTGACCGACCACCTGTAAAACGCTGATTAACATAGTGATATGATGTAACTGAATCTAACATCATCACATCAATTAAAGTCACACTGGAAGTAAGAGAGGAGGCATATAAAAAGATGGACAGTATATCTAAAATTAAGTACTTTAGCTTGAGATTCCTTGATTTTATCTTCAATGTGCGCAATTCTTGCCAGTCTGTCCGCCTCAATCGCTTGCTTTCTTTCTTGAACTGCATCTTCCTTTGCTTGGAGTTCTTCTGACCTTCTCTTACGCTCTTCCTAATGGATATTAATATTATATGCGCCTACTACTTTAATAATTGGTTAGAAGTTTTCTAAAAATCTGATTTAAATTTGAACATAGATCACAAATTTACCAGTTACAAGATACAACACAGATAATATATACAACACATTATATACAACACATATCACAACACAGATACAACACATATCACTTTATCATAACATATCGAGAAGGCCATGCAAAACAGCACATTCCCACAGATGCCGTCACAGATCAGCAAATGACGTCATATAGCAAACCTGTTGTCTGACCTGCAACTCTAGTCTTTTAGACTCTGCGACTTGTTCCTTGGAAAGTAGCTCCATCTTCCTGTTCTGTGCTTCCAGCGTGTTTATAAAAACTATCTCGTTCACTTTCTGGTCCTCTTCTTGCGCCTGCAGTTACGTAATTTAGGGCTTAAAACTATTTACTCTGATAGAACAATCAGCATAGCGAGATATTCTAGATTCTGTAAGTTTAACATACACAAAAACATGCCAAACATACCTTTCTCTTGACTTCCGCTATCTTTTTATCTCTAAGTTGTTCAGCACGTGCCAGCTTTTCAGCGTGTGAAATTGCACGTGCGAAACGCTCTTTCTCTTGCTGCTCTTGAAGATCCTTTATCTGAAATAATTGCAGTGTAATTAAAATAACTGTACTCGACCAAGAGTTTTCGTGTTTGAGACCAAACCAACTATAAGTATAATTACCTCAATTCTCTAGTCTTTTCAGACGCAGAATCATCCACACATTTGACTTCTTCTGATGTCTGGGACTTACAACCCCAGATGTAGATTTAAACAACGACGTTTTATATATTCAACGTTTAATAAATATCACCAATTTACTGTCTAATGAGTCAACAGTCATATACCCATGATTAAATAAAGATGTTGTGTCGATCAAATATCATTAAATGCTTCACGTAATAAATACCGTTATAAATTGATGATCATATATATTGCGCACCTAATATTCTATAAATATAATATAAGGGGCGCAGTGATATATTTCGATAATCATTAAATTTTAATTGGGGTGTGGCGATGTAATTTAATAATGTATATTAGAGTCGAGAAGTTTCTAGTTTCTTGGACTTTATCTAATACTCAGTTAGCCGCTGTCAACTGAGTGAGCCTGGGTTATCTTGAACTTATCTAACTTCTTAAACTTAACGTTCAATAAGTTTAATGTCAAACTCTATACAACTGTACAAAGGGGAGATACACCAAAACCGTTTTTGCTCCGAACATCGATTTTATTTTATATTATTTTTAAATAGACAAAAAGAATAAGATTGTACACCTTCAAAAATTTTTAAAAATATTCCCTCATCGAGAAAAAAAATATTTTTCTTTTTCGAAAATTTTTAAAATTTGGAGAAGTCTGTCACTGTAATACCGATAGTTCGGCCATTTAAAAAGTTTTTTGGCTAATTTTTTAACTGAACATTACTTACACTCCGAACTAGAAGCCATTGAAAGGATTATATAATTGAACAATTAATGACCAAGTTACAGACCGAACAAGGTCGAAAAAAGAAAAATTGGGATTTTTGCCTACCACCAAAGTTGTACATTTCACCACCCGCCCAGGTCATCAGATATCGCTTCAAAAGTTCTTGTGAGTGTAGTTGATGATCATGGCAAGCTTTTTGGAACCGGATTTCTCTCAATTTTGAGTTTTAAGCTATGCAATGTGGCCTCAAACGACTTAGTAAAATTCATCGTAAAAAAGGGCAAAAAAGGCAGATTTAAGGCTTAAAATGCCTATAACATGACCAACCCTGGAAGTCCCTGTCTCCTCATCGTTAACCCGTAAGGGGTTGCACCAGGGGCGGTGGTAACAGAACTTCAAGACTCTCGGAGTCTGTTGTCGATATCTATGTATAATATATTTATGGTATATAACTTGGGAGTCTCGCTCTCTAGCAGCAGGAGTTGGAGAATGGGGACGCGTTGTGAAAGCCACCGCAAGGAAGGCTTACAGTCGACGCCGACCAATCAAAAGAAGCACCAAATAGGTGCTTTTAGAAGACAAATTGTCTTAAATAATTTTCTAGCTCGAACACAAGGGTCCCCCCTTGTATAAATTTTGTACAAATTGTACACATTTGTTTAAAAATTTTGTGGCTTTGAATATTATAAATGTCGTACTAAAAGATTCGTCTTACCAAGCTGATTACGATCCTGTAAAAATTATTTCAAAAAACTGATACTTTTTGAGTTATAGACGTTTTAAGCCTTAAATCTGCCTTTTTTGCCCTTTTTTACGGTGAATTTTACTAAGTCGTTTGAGGCCACATTGCATAGCTTAAAACTCAAAATTGAGAGAAATCCGGTTCTAAAAAGCTTGCCATGATCATCAACTACACTCACAAGACTTTTTGAAGCGATATCTGATGACCTGGGCGGGTGGTGAAATGTACAACTTTGGTGGTAGGCAAAAATCCCAATTTTTCTTTTTTCGACCTTGTTCGGTCTGTAACTTGGTCATTAATTGTTCAATTATATAATCCTTTCAATGGCTTCTAGTTCGGAGTGTAAGTAATGTTCAGTTAAAAAATTAGCCAAAAAACTTTTTAAATGGCCGAACTATCGGTATTACAGTGACAGACTTCTCCAAATTTTAAAAATTTTCGAAAAAGAAAAATATTTTTTTTCTCGATGAGGGAATATTTTTAAAAATTTTTGAAGGTGTACAATCTTATTCTTTTTGTCTATTTAAAAATAATATATAATAAAATCGATGTTCGGAGCAAAAACGGTTTTGGTGTATCTCCCCTTAATCATGCGCTAAAACAATGAGCTTGTCTCCAGTAAGATCGGTCATCTGCAAAATATAATAATATCATTTCTGTCGTTCTTAAGACGTCTTACAGATACGGTGCGAGGCTCGGGTTTACTAACATACTAGTGTAACCTGTGGCTGGGACTTCACTATCGCAGTTGAAATGCAAAAGTATAAACCCGTCTAATATATTCGAAAAAACGCATCACATTTTCGTAGTTAAAACAGTGCGAAAGTATAAACTCGCTCAGTCCAAACAGACCGCAATTTAATTCTGAGTGCTCCTCATAAATCTAATAGTAATACTTGATAGGCAATCTTGAGGTCGACTGCCAAATTACCTAATTATATAGCAAATCTGTTAGGAGGGGAGAGGGGGCGAGAGTGGGAGAGAGGGAGAGTACGTGAGACACTTTAATATCACATTTGAGTCACAAAATGATCAATTAAACCACTTAACACCGACCGATTTAAAACAAACTTTAATCATTTGGCTTCGTCAGAGTTTTCTCGGCACTATACCGAAAAAACCAGTCCCATATCTCTTTCCGTTTTCCTGATTAAACCGTTCGTAAATTACAGACAGACACACACATTTATTGAGTTTATTAGTATAGATTCCTCATAGCTACAACCTGAGTACGTGATATAGTTGACATTTAACATATTCACTATTGGAACACTGCCAACACTTCATATTCAGTTACTGCCAACTGTTTGCAGTAGGAACCTTCACAGTTACATAGTGCTACTGCACTAAATACATATAATATGTCCTTGCATCAACTTACAGTATATTATATCCAGACTTGAGTTCATTGCCGGATAAGTAACATTTTGACAGTATACGTATAATTATAGTGATATTATGCGGTTATTTACTTAGTTTTTCTTTAGGATTATTAAAATTCTTTCTTGTACATTAAACCAAACCACTAAAATTGTCGCAATTATGATTACGCATGAGATGTTGTAAACTTTCCATAAGTCCACAACTTAATGTAACGCAGACTTACGTTGTGTGAAGCACACAGCTACAGTAACCGACATCCCCAAATACCTATGACGTCATAATATCTTAACTACAAACCAACACTAACATTACTAGTGTTTGTTAGTCTTGCATTCCCTCGTTTATACGTGGCCAGGCTATGTGAACATGCTATGTCAGTCTGATACGTGACCAAGCTATGGGAACAGGCTATGTCAGTCTGATACGTGACCACTGACCAGGCTATGTGACCAAGCTATGACACTTGACAGTTTGTCAGTCTAAGGACGAAGGCTCGCTTCTAAATGCTAATCACGTAATTTTATTGATGGGTTATTATTTTTTATTTGGCTTGTGGAAACAATCATCCCGGCATCATTATGGGCATTGTTCAAAAGTTAATGTGTATTTATAGCTGGCAACATTCCCAACATTCCATGAGAACGGCTGATGTTACCATAGAAACACGAGTGGCGTTCCAAGAGCACCTAGTCTATTATTAATGAAGAGTTGTAATGTGTATATTTAAATATAATGACGTAGCACTTATTAGTAGTTAGTAACTAATTAGTAGTTAGTAACCTATTATTAGTTAGTAAGCTATTAGTAGTTAGAAACTAATTAGTAGTTAGTACGGTAGAACGTAGCTCCAAACCAGATATTTGCACTTTTTTATACTCTTTACTAACCATCAAATTGATTTTTGGATAGACTTATTGATATCCGTTCACAGCTTTATCAACTGCCAATACGTAGAACCATTGATGCAAGCAAGTGAGAAGCTAATAGTCCTATACAATACTAGTAATTAATAAGTACGTGGTACTTAGTTACTACTAATTATACCACTAAAGTATGTGGAGATATTTCCCACGAACCAATTAAAATAGCAACAGAAGTATTGAGGTGGTTACCAATTAACTAAACTTAGAACAGTAGAACAGTAGATTGTACAGTAAATTGTACAGTAAATTAAACAGTTCTACTGTTCGGACTGCTGAAATAGTAATTAACGTGTATTAGCGTGGTGGGTACTACCAATTAAAACTGTGCAAACTAGATAGACTACTGGTGGTGACTGCCGACTGGGAAGTAATATCTTGTTGAGTACTACAACTAATTAACTAATTAACAACCAATTAACAAACTACTACTAATTGAGTGTTATCTACTAAGGCCTGCTTACCAGGATCCAGCATTTAATGTGACTTAATTTTAACACGTACAGGATACTTACTTACTAACTGTCTAAAGACAGTAAATTCAACGAAGCACCCACACACTATATAATAGTAGTATACAATAATAGTAGTATTACGTAATATAGCATAGTAGTATAATATAATAGTATAATAAGTATTAACTGATAAGATTCTAACCTGTTCTTCTTTTATCTTTATCTTCTTCAGTTTATTAGCCTTCTCCTCCTGGATCTTATCTCGTTGCACTTGAGCTTTAGCCTGAGTTGTATTGGTAACCTAGTAACCAGTATTGGTAACCTAGCAACCAGTATTGGTAACCTAGTAACCAGTATTGGTAACCTAGTAACCAGTATTGGTAACCTAGTAACCAGTATTGGTAACCTAGTAACCAGTATTAGTAACCTAGTAACCAGTATTGGTAACCTAGTAACCAGTATTGGTAACCTAGTAAACAGTGTTGGTAACCTAGTAACCAGTATTTGTAACTTAGTAACCACTATTGGTATTAACTATTATAATATTTCGAAATTCAGGACAAAATAAATGCTGTTTCTACCCGCCAAAACGTTAAAATACACACCAGTATAACACTACTGCTAATACCAGTACTAACTTATCAGGTCACCAGTCAGCACTTACCAGTCGCTCAGTGTAGTTCTTGAGCACTGCGTCAGTAGTGTTGCGCTTCCTGCTGGGGGAGCTGAGGCGCTGGTGCAGCTGCGGCGCTTTACCAGGTGAGCGCCCGCCCCCTGAAGAGCGACTACTGGGGGACCTCCCCGGGGAACGACCCGGGGACAAGCAACTGTGGTCCTCATCATCCTGTGATTATGTACTGTTAGTGTGTTGTTCACATGTACTGTGTGTAATTACAGGGTAAGTGCTAGGTAGATGTACAGGGTACAGGGTACAGGGTACAGGGAACAGGGTACAGGGTACAGGGTACAGGGTAAAGGGTACAGGGTACAGGGTACAGGGTACAGGGTACAGGGTACAGGGTACAGGGTACAGGGTACAGGGTACGGGGTACAGGGTACAGGGTACAGGGTACAGGGTACAGGGTACAGGGTACACTGTACAGGGTACAGGGTACAGTGTAGTGTACAGGGTACAGGGTACAGGGTACAGGGTACAGGGTACAGGGTACAGGGTACAGGGTACAGGGTACAGGGTACAGGGTACAGGGTACAGGGTACAGGGTACAGGGTACAGGGTACAGGGTACAGGGTACAGGGTACAGGGTACAGGGCCAAGTAACAGAAACTTCTGACATTGTGACGTCACCTCTCTATTTTAACATGCAACTAATTCCAACAATATCGTTGTACTCTACACGGATCTGTATTCTGTACACACATATTGTACTTAACTCTAATGCATAATAACGCAGTGTTATCTACAAGTTGTTATGTCTATTATATACACTTAACACTACGTTACACTTAACACTACGTTACACTTAACAACTCACGCGAAAATCTGCACAGGAATCAAAGTTACAAACAACACGGAATAGGTTATCACATTTCCTTACTCAAAGTTTCATTTAATACATTTTCATTAATCGGAAAACTAGAGACTTGAATTAATAATTGAAGGAACAAGGATCCCAAAATAATCAGCATTATGTATTAACATTATGTACAGATGGTAAGATAATTAGAGTACACTGACCAATGTATCTGTGCTAACTGAACTTTGTTCACTAATCTGTCTCTTTCTCTTGGATATCATAACCCGGTAAATGTTACAGTTGTCTTCTTCCTTCAAATTAAATTGTTAAAGCTTGAAAATCAGACCAAATTGTACCAGTAATTCAGCTTAATGTTTTAAAACATTAAGCTGAATTACTGGTACAATTTCGTCTAAAATTTGGTCATCAAATTTTTGGTTGAAAAACGAAAATTTTACCATTTAATGATTTATCAGTACACCAATGTGAAGTCCATTAAGCATTGAGTGTAAAAGTAATTTATCAGGATAAGAAAACAAACCTCCATTTTGGGATACATGGACGAAGCAGGAACAGCAAATATCTCCACGTGATCCTCAAAAGTATGCTCTGAAGCATCAGTCTGGATGGACTTACTTTCAGATGATATCTTGGAGCTCTCTGCATCAGTATCATCAGCTGATTCTAACACAAGGGCACTGGAGTCATCTGCTTCAGATACCGACAAGGGCTCACTTTTGTCGTTGGATGACGAGGATGCTTCATTAGCATCTGATGAAAGATCGCTTGTATCAGGAGTATCCTCCTGCGGAGCACTTGAAATAACTGATTCTTTTTCCTCTGAGACAACTTCTTTGTCATCTCTAATATCTTTCTTGTCCTTTGCAGAGGGGGTTTCTAAAGTTTCGGAGCTTTTAGAGATTGCCTTCTGAATGTCGCCAGCATCTGGTATCTTTAGGTTGTCAGATAGCTTAGTGTTACTTTCAAGAGACTTGGTTTTTACCAGCCGTTTATTGGAGGTTTGTTTACCAGCTGCCCCCCTGGAGGAGGCTGTAAGTGGCCTGGAGGCTCTAGTTAAGGTGGCTGATTTGGTTCCTGACGGCTTTGAATTGACTTTAGCAGACACGTTTTTAGTTGAGGGGGTAGTTGCTGGTTTCGGTTTGATACCTCGGGAACTTTTAGTTTTTTCTGCACCATCCGATGATTTAGCTTTTGTTTCACTGGCTTTTGACCTTGCTGTTGATGAAGAAGAATCTCCTGCAGACTTTGCACTGGCTCTAGAGAGCCTAGGTGACATAGCAGAAGACTTGGTTACGTCACTGGGTTTAGCAGCAGTGGTGTTTGGTTCCACTTGCTTGCTGCTGTTTGGAATAGTTTTAATACGACTTTTACCTGAGGAGATGCACCATCCATCCTCATTAACATGAGATTCTTTAGATCTAACTATTTTGTTTGTTTGTAATCCTCTTTGATTGGGCAATGACTTGGATTTAGACAAGGCTGGCTGATTCCTTGAGTTAGGTCCATACTTAGAGGTGGTACCTGCCTGTCGATGATTAAGATATCTGCTAGGAGTAGATTGGTATTTAGAAGAATAAGGGTTCTTATAAGGTGCCACTGGAACGGGACTATCTGACTTACCCTTCCTAACTAAATCAGCCCATGATGTGGACCTGGCTAGAGGGTTGAGGGGTAAAGACATTGAGGACTGTACAGAACTGGAAGACATGGTAGATAGTCCGGATTCAGAGAGGACATCCACCTCTTTTCCCTCGATGTCAACTATCTCTGAACTGCATGATAGCTTTACTCCTCTGTTTTTAGATCCAGAAGCGGACTTTCTTATCGGTTTTTCAGGGACTGTTGAAACAACCTGACCAAGGTGATTGAGTGCTTCTTCAGTTTCTTTTTGGTCAGATTTACTGCTATCAGTACTCTTAAGAGGTACTTTTTCCAAGACACGTTCTTTCTGCTCTGATTTTACTACAGGTTTCTTCTCACTCTTGGTAAGAACAGTATCTTGATTGTCTTGGAATGCAGAACTTTTTGCAGAACTGTTTTGTTCTTCTAGTTCCTTTTGTTCTGGGGTATCCACTTCAGGACTAGTTTTATCATCAGCTTTAGAAACATCTTCCTCTTCAGGACTGTCAGCTTTTGGCGCTAACAAGGACAGTTCTTGGGTTTCTGAAGTGGCTTCTTTTGTCTCAACTGGAGGCTCAAATTTTGGTACAGTAATTACTTCACCTGCAGAAGGTGCTTCCTGTTCTTGACGGACATCAGACTGAATAACATTACTCGACTCTACAGAGATCTCTGTTGCTTCTTCCTCCACTGTGGAATCTGCAATCTCTTTTACATCTGAAACCACGGAGGTATCAGGAATATTTTCTGACAAATCTTCACTCTTTTCTTGCTCTACTGAACCTGAACCACTATTAACTTTGATTGGTTCACTTTCTGTCAAGCTCTCTGCCGACCCCTCTAGTATATCAGATTGTATAGAAACACTCAACGAGTCGCCCTCTGTTCGCTCATTATTTACACTCTCCGCTCCTGAGCAGAGTTTCTATTCGATTGTTCTGGACTTTCAGCTAGACTATGATCAGACCCATCAGAAGTCACGTGTACAAAACTATCAGGAGTGGTTTGAACAACAGTCCAATCAGCTTTAGCATCCTGTACTTGCTCGGACTCTGTCATAACTTCATCTTCTACACTGCTCTTGTCATTGATAGCATCAGCAATCTCCTGGTTAACAGCTAGTGAGTCCTGACTTGTATCATGTTTAAGATCACAAGTTCCATCAGCATTACCTGAAACATTGCTGACATCAGCGTCTAATGTTTCTCTGATACTGCTAGCTTCAGAGATAATTTCAATTGAAGTCTGGGCACTTGTCTCAGTTACATTGCTTTGTAGATCATCTGCAATTGGTGTCTCCAAAGCTTGTGAAGCAGTCGCTTGAACATAATTGTTCTCAATAACAGGCAGGACATACTCACCAGTATTACTATCACCCATCTCAATCTGCACAGGGGTAATGTCCAAAGAATTAAGATTATTTGAGTTGGATGATGGCTGAACCTTTTTTTCAGAATGGCCGTCAGAGTTTCTTGATTTGTAGTTGTCATGCTTGCTGCCGCTTCTTCTAGGCTTGGTATAGTTTTTCTTACCATGAACATTGTTGTTATTGTTATTATTATAGTCTATAAAGCCAAATTGTTGATACTGTTGTGGAGCTGGAGGTTGTGGAGGTTGTCCGTTCTGTGCCATGTAATCTGGGGGATATCCAGCGAAGGGTTGGTTGAATGACATGTAGTTTACAACGTTGGGGTCTATCATAGGGAAGGTTCCAGGCATTGAGTATTGAGGAAATGTCTGAAATAAAAGGAGGAATTATCAGTTATGTTCATGTTTTAATTAAAGCGTAATTTTAAAAGAAAAAACGGGTTCAGGAACTGAAGGATGTCATAAGGGGCATTATATACAGTATACACGTATTGTTTCGTATTCTGATGGTATAGAGAGGCCCAGTATAGAGGTTTGAGTGTATCAATATCATGATACAATTTAATTCTGGAACACCCATGAAATCATAAAAATACCTCTTTTACCAGAAACTCCATTTCCTTAATTACAGTAAGAACAGATACCTGGCTGACTTGAACAATGAACACTACCATATAAGGTAATGTTGCCATGGTAACACATACCTGGCTGACTTGGGGTAAACAGGGGTAGTAGTAGAGCTGTTCGCCGTTAGGTTGAAAAGGTAAGCTTGGTTGCTTTATAGCTGAGACTGGAACTTCCCATGCAACAGAGCTTGGTCTGGTAAGTGAACAAATGTTATTGTGTTAATTACGGGTCCATTAGAGTTCAAGAATTAGAAATTATCATACAGTCTTGAGCTTAGCAAGTGTCTTGTAGGCAGCAGAGTTAGACAATTCTATGGAAGTTTAAAATAAGAGTTTGAATACCTTAATGAATAAAATAAATAAAAACCTGTCTTCTGAAGTTTCGTATGATGCTTGGACTTCTATGTATTGAATAAGTCCTTCAAACTCCTTGATGCGATTATGAAGTACCATTATAGCCTCCTAAAACAGAGTGACAGATATATACAAAACGACTGAATTGTTTTTTTGAAAAATATGTATAACTATAAACGGATTTATCCAAGTTTAAATTCATCTATTCCTCAATTAAATCAACATTTAAATTGAGAAGGTTCTATTGAGCAAATAGCATTGTTTCAGCACCCAAATTTTGAAATTTTAAACTTTACTGCCATACAGACAGATGACAGAATAGAAGAATCTTATTTACTTCTGGTAAGTAAGAGTTACAGAAACTTGACTACAGCACTCTAATGTATTATTAAAGGACGTTTCATTGAAAACTTCTTGTTTCAATGATTGAAAAAGTAAATAATTCTGGAAACAAACCTTGCATTCTTCTATGTCTCCATCTTGCTCACACATGGAATATATATATCCTACAGCCCTAAAGGAAGATTCCCATGATAATTGAGAGGTCAAATTATTAAAATAATTTGATATTTTGAAACTTCTACATTCACATTTACGGTATCATACACTCATAAAAATGCACTTATTAATATATTTTATTCTTGTTAAATGATAGATTTGGATACTAGTAAGAACTGCATTTGCATTGGTCGGATTTGTTAATTGTCAAATCTTTAAGATGATATTATCATATCCACTATTCATAGCATCATCTGGAGTTTGTCATTACTCACAATTTTTAAAATAATTTTCATAATTAACCTCCCATAATACTTTCTGTAAGAAATTGGTTCAAGAATCTGGTAAAGAAAATTAAAACATACCGTTTTAAGTTATCAAATAGGAACCTCCAATTGCGTGACTTGGCATCACTAGTTCCACTAGCTCCTCTTGAAGATATTTTTTGTTTGATACTTGATTCTGGATCATTTCCATCCATTCCCTAGCTATGGGTAGGAATATGAGTATGATAATAATATGTAGTCAGATAATATGTAATTAATAATATGGCGTAAAACATACTACTGGCATTTGGTTATCTGTAACTATTAGAGTCCGAGTAGCCGTCGCATTGTGGTTTTAGGTTTATCAGAGCAACTCTTTACCTACCAAACAACTGTTTTTAGTTGTACATTGTAGAGAGAAATCTCAAGCCGCCAAAGAGTTCCTGATCTCTAAGTCTAAGAGAGAGTCTAAGAGAGAGGTGGGATTCTGACAAAGAAAGAGTAAATCAGTGTGATATCGACAAAGGAAGAAATAGTGATACTGACGACTCCGTCAGGGAGATTGACGATGATGCAGCGACTTGGAACCAACTGACCAACTCCTACGCAGTACTTCAGACAAGCCCAGATCTCCGAACAACTTGGTATGGAACGAGGTTACCAGATATTTAAAGGACAAGCTGGAGCCCCAGAGACGTAATCCCCTGGAGTTCTGGCAGAAAATCACACTCTGTACCCCATCTGAACCAGCTTGTCCATTGTTTGATTCACGATATCAATCCTTCGCATCTCGCCGCTCTGTGGTTGCGAGAAGCATTATTGGATGCGCGCGCGGCCCAGTAGTGCATCGCGCTACAAGTCCATTGTCTGAGCTGGATCTATCTGTGTCCAATTCTTTTCTCAGTTGCAAGTGAAAGGTCTTTCAAGTTGGTAAGTAAGTAAGTAAGTAAAGATTATGACATAACATCATCACAAGTGTCTACAAAATATCATTGCACTAAATAGAAAAATAATTTAAATAAATCCATCAGCATTAATAATTTATTAAATTCAATTTCATTAATTAATGAAATCTAATACATTATCTATAAATAATTCATTAATACTTCCCAGTGGAATAAAGATTTACAAAACGCTTCTTTGCCACAAAAGGATGGAACCAAGATATTCATTATGTTTCTCCTTATTGCTTAAATAACTGGGTCCTTCAATTTTCCCTAAAACTTCATTCGAAACATTCCAAAAATAATTGGTGAAAAACATTGCAGGGGATAACAGACTAATATGAGCCTCCGGCCGAAAACTTAAACTTGATTATAAAGTAGAAGTAAAGTATGGAAGCGCATGTGTGTCAAAAAAAATAATGATACACATGCGCTTCCTAGGTAGCGTATGTGTGTCAAAAATTTTTTTGATACACATGCGCTAGCAGGTTTATCATGTATATCTCTAGGTGGCCCATGTGTGTCATTTTTGTAAAATTGCTGTAAAATCTCTATTTAATATTCTAATCGCTATCTTTATCTATCGCTAGATATTTGAAAAAGTGATATACAGCCGTATCTACAGTTTCGCTCTGTCACAAAATATCCTTGATGAAAACCAATTTGGCTTCCGCAAGTCCCATTCTACTAGCCATGCTGTTAACTACTCTGTTAGGATTATTGAAGATAGCATTAAAAAACGAAACCATGTTCTAGGAATATTTATAGATTTGAGTAAAGCATTTGATACAATCGACCATAGTACACTCCTAACAAAACTAGATAGGTATGGAATAAGAGGCAATGCAAACTGTCTTATTAAAAGCTACTTATCAAATAGAACACAGTATACAGAAGTCCTTAATGAAAAATCCGAAAACCTTATCATTAAATATGGAGTTCCACAAGGCTCTGTTTTGGGACCGCTCCTTTTTCTTCTATACATAAATGATATTGCCAATTCCTCGGATTTAGGAACCTTCATACTATTTGCTGACGACACCAACATTTTTATTGATGGAAAAACTGTAGAAGAAGCTTATGAGAAAGGCAACAAATTGCTAAGCTGTATAAAAAAGTATATGATCCTTAACAAACTTCACATCAACATGTCAAAGTGCTGTTATATGCATTTTAAACCAAAGGCTAGTAAACCAGTAGAATTGCCAGATTCGCTTCAACTCCATATTGATGGCTTTCCAATTAAAAAAACCAAAGCAACTAAGTTTCTTGGAGTTGTTATTGACGAACAGCTTTCCTGGGGGCCTCATATAACAGCACTCAAACGAAAGTTAAACTATGCCTCTGCCACCTTAAATAGAATTAGGGACTCTGTACCAAAGGAACTCCATAAAGACCTCTACCACACACTATTTGAATCCCACCTCACATATTGTATCTCAGTTTGGGGTGATGCAGCACTCTTTAGGACAGCAAGTATCTGGCTGTCTCAGAAGCACTGTGTACGGGTCCTCTTTGGTGATAAAGAGGCATACCTAAACAAGTTCCTTACATGTGCAAGAACAAGAGAGTTTGACAGCCAGGCACTTGACCATACATTCTTCCAACTAGAGCACTGTAAACCACTTTTCAAGCAACAAAACATCCTGGCTTTCAAAAATTTATATACATATCACACAAAGGCACTTCTAAAGCTGCAACATGCTTATAATGATTCGGCATGGACCACAAGCGATTATGACATAATGCAGCTGTCATTTGAAAACAATCCCCTTCATCAAATTTAATCCAGTGATCTCGGCCCACAGGCTCCTCCTATTAAACAATTTTGATTTTGGTAAATGTGTGCTGACTCCACCACCTATGTATTTAACCTAATATTTAGTGTATTACAGGTAGAAATTGACTTAGGTAGGTATTTTTCTCTTAGGTAGATATTAAGAATTTGGATAATTTCTTAATTGTATGACTATTTCCATTACTGAGACGTTTTTAATATTTAATTTAGGAGGGTTTTTGGAATTTTTTTAGGACTGGTTCACAGAGTGAACAGATTCCAGATTTATATATTTTTAAACTGATATTTAATAAATGATTAAAAGAACAAATTTTAAAGTTGCCATTAGATCCAAAAATACACCCATTATGCTCACTTAAAAACAACTCTAAATCAGTAGGCTGTCACTCTATTAATGCACCACACCGCTACCTCCACTGCACTAATAGTTATACAATAAATTCTACAATCCTAAT